AGTTCAGGCTAGTTCACGCAGAAGGATGCTGGACGTCAAAATTCTCTGGCCGACCTCGTCCTTCCGTTTTCCATAACTAGTAGATATGCCCCAAAATACGTAATTGTTTCCATGTTCATTGCTCTTCTGTTATGTTTTAATTTATTAGCATGTTTTAAGATGTCACAAATAGGGAAACTACATATAAGCATAAATCATAGACAGTACAGCTCTGTTAAAATGATACTAGTTATATGCATTATAATATTAGACAATTATTGTGTAGTTTGAAGAACATTTTTATGCAGAACTTGCAGAAGTTCTTTGCGAAATAAGATTATAATGGACATAATCTGTTATGGTTTACCTTACTTAATGCGTTATCACAGAAAGCACTTAGCGTTATCGTATTAAACTGATCGTTACCTGAAATATTAGACAATCTTCTGAGTAAAACTTCTAGGCGTAGGTGTAAACATCTTGATAGTATAGTTTTTTTATGCTAGTGATATCCCGCACTTGACAGTTTTTTTCTTACAGTGGACAGTTGAGGATATATATTAAACTATTTTCATGTTACTCCATTCAGGTAGATGGATTAGTAGACTGCTTCGCTTCAGAAGCACGAGATTCATACCCCATTCATGGCATAAATTTCTTTTATCAACTGCCAATTAGTTTGAGTAAGAAACTCACTTGCACCTTTTCCCTGGTCGCCTTGAGGAGCTTGATGGATAACCAAAAGTAGCATAAGGTGTAAATTTAAATTTAGAAATGATTTCATTTCAGAATCGATTTGCGTTTTTGTCTTTCTCGATTGTACTGCTTCATGTACTTTTTAAGTGCGGGTTTTTCAAACGAAGAAGGCGAAGCGACGAACCACTGTACACCGCTGAGTACAAGGCAAACGAAGACTTCGAAGATAACTGACCTGACCGCCCCAGCCGTCAGGCTACTGTTGTAAATCGATGAAGGAATTTTACTTCCCTCCTCGACTGTCGCGATTACCGCTGAGGAGTATTGATTGTTTTACCGTAGCTCGAATCGTTCGATGGTCAGCGGTTCGTTCACGTTTGTTGACAACGAGTTTCTCACGTTATATTCATTTCATCTTCTTAGCTGCATTGGTGCCATTCTTATTATCCTGAAGTACTGCTCAAAGGACAAAGTACTGCATGATTGCGATATTGAAAATTCAGAAACGAATCGATTATTAACACCAGTAGTCACCATCGATCGAACGATAAATATATTGTTATATTTATTCGAGATATACGTTATTGCATTATTAAATCAAGATAAGTTTCCGTTGAACGAC